AAAGGCTTATAGCTAATTTACGTAGTTATTTAGAAAAGTGTACATATTCTCACATGGTACTCTTGGATTGGATTTCTTTGCTCATGTGGCATGTACCATGAGGCATCCAAAACCTGACCAGGAAACAAACAAGTTACATAAGAATCATAGCAGAAAAGTCTTGACTAAGGCTACAATCTCAACAAGTGCAAACTATAAGCATTCTGAGACTGAGATTCAACACAGCTAGGACGTTGGGTTACCTTTATATCAGCATCTCTAAGATTAGAGTGAAGCCAATCAACAGACACGACAGGTTCATTGGTAGATATAGAGGATGTTGCGTAATTAACTTTTGCCCCAGATCCAGAAGAAGCCATGACTCGACCAACGTGAGTAGATTTAGAAGCTGAATAGGCAGAGCGTAACTGTGAGCTGAATGCTCTCTTCTGCAGTAATCATTTACAATCTCAGAATTACAAAACAAAAGATAAAAAAAAAAAAAAAAAAAATCCAACCTTTGAACACAATTCACTAGAATGAGTTACACAAGAGAAAATTAAATTCAGATTTTAATCATTTTGACTCAGATATCATCGGATATCTACACACAGCTAACTATAACTCCCAATGTGTTCTAAACTCGAAAGCCGACTACTAGTAGTAGCCAAATTATACAAACAAATTATCAGTAACTAGAAGTGAATATCTAAGGTCAGAGACGGTCGAAAATCGAATTACGAACAACTTGCATTCAAAATGGTTGCGAAATTACGAGTCGTCTGCTGAGGAACAGAAGATAGATACGGATTAATCTGGCCGTGACCAGCAACCAATAAAGTTGTTGAGAAAAGAGCCAAAGCCATATCACCTCAGAATACCATGTAGTGGAACAATTGTTGACTTAAAGCCGCCAGATTTTGCTACTGCCACCAGATTCTCCGAGCTCGCAACTTTTTCAAGCTTCTTCGTTCTCAACGATGCTGCTTTTGCCACCTGGGTGATAGGCCTGGGCACAAGTACTCGTTACTCGGTTGATACTTGCTACTCGGCTTGTACTCGTCTTGAAAAAACAAGTACCCGGTGTTGTCAAGGCAAGTACTAAGTAGTATAATTCTATTACTTGTAAGTAAGGGTCAAGTATCAAGTATCATAAATTTTTTTGATAATTGGCTCGTTACTCGCCCCGTTACTCGCTCCGCTACTCGTCCCGTTTTGTATTACAAGATATAAAGACCATTAAACATTTAAACCCAATCACTAAAAGTCTAAAATTATAAAACCCAATATAAGATTTTGTCTCTAATGGCTAGAGATCTGTTAGCTATACCGGTTTCAACCGTTGCTTCTGAGTCAGCATATAGTACAAGTGGTCGGGTTATAGATCCTTTTCGCAGTTCTCTAACCCCGAGACTTGTTGAGGCTCTAATATGCACTCAAGACTTGATTCGTAACGATTATGAACAAAGTTTGCTGGAGGAAGAAATTGAACAACTTGAAATTCTAGAAGAAGGTATATACTAACATTATACACTTATTCGTACGTTATATATGCATGTTTTCTTTTACATGTGAACTTACAACTTTTATGTTGTTTCAACAGAATTTGTAACTTCAAATGCTTATGGAAATTTGGTGCAAGGAGTGGGTTTAGCTTTGGAGGAAGAATGAAAGGTATGGATACTTCATGATTTTCAAGTTTTGTTTTAAAGCGTAATACACTAATAGTAACATTTGTTATGTTGGTTTTATTTATATGGAAAAAAAAAGAGAATCAAGAAGACAAGAACTCAAGAAAGAAGACAGAGACATGATTTCAATTTGAACCAAGTTGTTTTAAAATGTTTATCTTTTGGAACTTTCAATGTGTTGTGATTCTAGGATGTTTTGCGATTTTATGATGTTTAAAATTCTGAATGTTTTATAATATGTATGAGATTATTTTTTTATTTAAATTAAATGTTCAAGACTTCAAGATTTAAGTAACAAGTATTTGCAAGTAACAAGCTAAGTCAAGTTACCTTGCAAGTAACAAGCCGGGTCAAGTTACTTGCAAGTAACAAAATTTTGGACGAGTACTTGTTATAGCAAGTACTTGCTCAAACGAGTCGAGTATCAAGCGAACTTTCAATTATTTGTACGGGCCAAACCGAGTCACAAGTACTTGAAAAATAGCAAGTACTTGCCTTGTGCCTAGGCCTACCGGGTGATCACTGATCACTGATCAGCAAAAGAGTGACGCGACAAACGCGTATTTGGTTACATAAATAAAATCGCGCTTGCGTTTTCTTTATTAAAAATCGCGTTTCCACTAAAACGGAGTCGTTTTGGTTTTACTTTCTTCTTCCAAAAAGAATTCGTAAAATCTCGGACTTCAACCTTCTCTTCTCTTCTCTGCAAGAAACCTAAAAGCCTATTTATTTCACCTCTCTCTCTGCAACTAATCGCTTGTTCGATCTCGAAGCTGAAGCTAAAGGTAAGCTATTCTTTTCACAGTGTTAGTTCTTTTTCGAAGATTCGTTTCGATCTCAAAAATCCCATTCTATTAAACTGCTTTTAGACTCTAATGTTTAAGCAAACGAAACCTGAATCGTTTGATCCCGGTAACGGTGAAACCCTAATTTCTGGTGGACTTTGAAACCACGAGTCCAATTTTTCAGAAATTCTTTTCAGGAAATTGATCTTACTCGTTGTGTTTGTTCACAGCTTTCGCCGATTTGATTAAGGAGCTATGGGAGATAGTCAGTACTCGTTTTCTCTCACCACTTTCAGGTACGAACTTGCTCAATCATCAGAGCATTTTGGGTTAGTTTTTACTGTGACTGATTTGGTGTGCTGTGTCTGAGACAGCCCATCTGGGAAGCTCGTTCAGATAGAACATGCCCTTACAGCTGTTGGATCTGGCCAAACATCTTTGGGGATTAAAGGTTTGTCAATGACATGATGAATTGGTAATAGATCAAAGAAATTTTGTAGCTTTCTTCTGATAACTTGGTTTCTTACTGCAGCTTCTAATGGAGTCGTCATTGCAACTGAAAAGAAATTGCCTTCTATTCTGGTTGATGAAACATCTGTAAGTTAATAATCAGCCAGAATATTCGTATCATTACCCTTGAGCCATACTTTGTGATGCTTTCTTAGATTGCGTAATTCAGTCAAAATCTCTGACATTAGTTTTATCTTTTGCCTGTTTCAGGTTCAAAAAATTCAGCATTTGACTCCTAATATTGGAGTTGTATACAGGTTTTCTTCTCACTTATCTTAAGTTTTTATTTGTTTTTGTTTTTGATGTTGTAGCTTAAGTACTAACTTTTTTTTTTGCATTTCCTTCTATGAAGTGGCATGGGTCCTGATTTTCGAGTTCTTGTTAGGAAGAGTAGGAAACAGGCTGAGCAGTATCTCCGTCTGTACAAAGTAATCCTATCTCTCTGTTTTCTCAAACTTTCTTGGAATACTTTCCTATGTGGTATGGTTTCATCTAAAGAAAGCTTTATTGTTGCAGGAACCCATCCCTGTTACCCAACTTGTAAGGGAAACCGCTACTGTTATGCAAGAGTTTACTCAATCGGGGTAAGTTCTACATTGAACTGTAAAATTCAACCTCATCTGTCATATGTTTACTTCCTTTCATTTTCCCAATATATTTGAATTGCACTGAACTATTTGCTTAGAAAAAGCAATTGGTAATTGACTTGACTTGAAATAATGTTGCTTCAGCAAATTTGTACCCATTATATATCCTATTTCTAATTTTTGTAGTCTCTTGTTTACAGTGGTGTTAGGCCTTTCGGGGTTTCCCTGCTGGTGGCTGGATATGATGACAAGGGTCCACAATTGTATCAGGTATTTCCTCCTTAGAATATGTGTCAGTTGATTGAGCACAATCGAGTCTCCCAATCTTCTTAGCTTCCATTCTCTTCAGCGCTGAAAAACTGAACGTAGTGAAATTTGTATCAGAGTATTTTACCTTTTTGACTATCCTGTTACAATAATTACCACCTTATTTTTCTGTCTAAACCAAATAGTCTGAATTACCATCTCATCTTGCACTAGGTGGATCCATCTGGCTCTTATTTCTCCTGGAAAGCTTCAGCCATGGGGAAGAACGTTTCTAATGCAAAAACCTTCCTTGAGAAAAGGTAATATTATTTACAAATTTCGTTAGTGTAGGCTCCTGTCATAACAACAGGAAACCACTCTTCTTCGCTGACCAAACTTAACCAACCACGAAATCCTTGCAGGTACACAGAAGACATGGAACTTGACGATGCCATTCACACAGCGATACTGACATTGAAAGAAGGGTAAGTACAAATCTACAGATTCAAGGTCTCTTGATCATTCATTAGTAGAAAGTTACCAGTCTTGAGGCTGTTAAGATTACCAAACGCATAGCACTGTCTTTTATAATGAAAGCACGGTGTGTACACACACCCACATATACATACATGATACATCTGTAACTTTAGTCTTCATACTCTGTGCCGAAAAGTCTTCACCTCATTTGTCTTTTGTTTTTTGCTTTTGATAGCTTTGAGGGAGAGATCTCAAGCAAAAATATTGAAATTGGCAAAATTGGTGCTGACAAAGTTTTCAGGTACCCTGTTTGTTTAACACCAAGAATCGTTGTTGCTGCTACTGATGTTTGAATAGAATGTTGTTGATACTCAATTGGTTTTTTGGGATTAATGCAGGGTACTAACACCAGCGGAGATCGATGATTACCTTGCTGAAGTCGAGTAACTCCTAGTATAGTCTAGCAACAAACATGCGCTTAAGACAGGAATTTCGTGGCATTTGCAGAGTCTTAAAGATTTGTTTTTTTCTGTAAAACTTGGATCTTTAAATAGTTTGTTGCTGAACACAAGCTGAGTGTTTCTTATGATTCAATAACTAATGAAATCTGTTTCTTTTTTTCTTTCACTCAGTGAAGGTTTCAGAGAAATCTTAGAGTAGTCTGATCTTATCTGTCATTGAATTGGTCGCATGGCCACTTTCACCTCCAATCGAGAAATTGCAAATTCTAAAACCAATTTTATTCCATTTCTTACAACAGAATAACTGTCTACAAACAGAATCATGGAGTAATGTTCCAAAACTGTTGAAACCCAAAACCTTAACCAAAGAATCCTATAACGAAACTTTGTCAGCTAGCAACTGTACAGAGTCGTAATCGAGCTTCCTCTTCTTTCACCAGTAATCCTTACAAGAACACAAACCACTCTCAAAATGGTGAAACCGATACTGGTCTCTTAGCACGATTCTACGTCCGATGACTCTACTAACAAACTTGTAAACAGAGTGACAATCACTGCATATGCGAAGGTTCTTGAAGATTCTAACCGTAGAACCTTCAGGAGTACTCATCAGCGCATAAGCAAGAGCGAGTCTTTCGCTGTGGTTCCAAAGATTGTGCTCTTTTTGTTCTTCATCTGTGTCTTGCAAAGCCTGACTAGTATCTGCGACATACCCAGATTCTTTTATCAACTTCTTGATGTCTTCTAGCTTTGCGTATATCTCCATTGTTTGTGGATGAGTTCTGTCTCCAATACCAAACGAACTCACTTTGTCTTTTAGTTTCACCCAACTGCAAGCTTGTTTCTTCTTGATGTTCTTGAAACCCATTTGCTTTCTCACATTCTCTACATCTTCCCATCTGCCTGTTGTTGCAAACATATTTGAGGACAAGACAAAAACAGAATCATCCTCTGGTTCTAACTTCGAGAGATTTTCCGCTGCTTTTCTTCCGCGGTCTAAATCCCTGTGGATTTTGCAGGAAGCTAACAAACTACGCCACACGAGGTCGTTTGGTTTCATTGGCATTTTCGATATAAAGGTTTCAGCTTCGGCTAACCTCCCTGATCTTCCAAGAAGATCAATTACACAGATGCAATGTTCAATCGCCGGTTCTAATCCAAAATCTTTAGCAATCATGTCATAATACGCAAGGCCTTGGTCTACTAATCCCCCGTGGCTGCATGCTGTAAGAAGAGAGACAAATGTGACATGGCCCGGCTTGATTCCCATTTCAAGCATCTCATGAAAAGTCTCACAAACTTCCTCGAAGTACCCGTGTCTTCCCAAAGCTGATATTAGTATGTTCCATGAGGGGAGTGATCGATTGACTGATGGAGGAAGCATTTTCACCACTTCGCCTATTTCCCCGCATTTGCTATACATGTCTGCAGCAGCGTTAAAGATGAAACAATCAAGTTCAAACCCGAGTTTTACAGCTAAGCCATGAAGTTGTTGGCCTTCCTCTAGGACAGCTAGCTTCGCAGCGGCAGAAAGCCCCTCAGAGAAACTAAACTGGTCTAGACTCAACCCAAAGCTTCTCATCTTTGATACAAGTTTTAGCACCTCTTCTCCATGACCGTGATGAGCATTTGCCGCAAGAATAGCATTCCAGGTGATGATACTCCTATTATCTAATCCGTTAAATAGGTCCTGACTCGAGCTTAGATCACCACATTTTGCGTACATAGTGATAAGCGAGTTTTTCACGTGTTCATCCGATTCAAATCCAGCAGAAACTATATAAGCGTGTAATGGTTTCCCCCGTTCAAGCAAATCCCCGGGCACTAAGCAAGCACTAAGAACACTTACCACTGTGATATAATTTGCAGAAACACCTTCCACTCGCAGAGTTTGAAAAGCCGCCAGTGCCTTGTCGGGATCTTCATTCTCAGCATAGCCACCAATAAGAGCATTCCAAGCTACTACATCTCGTCTAGGCATCTGTAATAGTACCCGTCTGGATGTGCTCATCCCACCTATCTTTCCGTACATAGAAACCAATGCATTACCAATAATCTGATTGTCAAATAAACCGCTGACCACTACAAGTCCATGAAGGATCCTGCCCTTATCGAAAAATTCAGGACTAAAGCAAGCAGCCAATGCGCTTGTAAAAGTCACATAGTTCACTGATTTTCCAGTCCTTATCATTGAACAAAGAATTCCTAAAGCATCTAAGCTCCTCCCATCGTTGACAAAAGAAGCCATCAAAGAGTTCCATGAGATCAAATCTTTAGTGGGCATTTGTTTGAACACCAAATCTGCCTCTTCTGATCTTCCCGCGCCTGCATACATTCTCAAAAGAGTATTGCACACACAAACAACCGAATCAAACCCCATTTTAACCACCAAACCATGAATTCCTCTACCCCATTTTTGGTGATCTACATCACCCAAAACTGATAACAGAGTAGACACAGTGGTGGAGTTCACTTCATCATGAAAACGACGCATCAAATTGAAAATCCTAGATGATTCCTCGATATGACCATTCTGTGCATATGCCGCAACAATCGAGTTCCATGAAATTGTGTCCCGTTCGGATATTTGATTAAAAATGTAATTTGCATAGTCTACATTTCCCATATTACCAAACATGGATATGAGCGAATTCTCCACTGCCAGCTTACTCTCCAGCCCCGATTTGATAACCTGTCCAATAATTTGACGACCCAATGATTCATCTTTAAGCAATCCGCAGGAACTGATTACCAAAGACATGGAATTTTCATTACACTCAACTCCTTCTCCTCTCATACTTTTATAGATATCAATGACTTCCTCTGGCTCACCCTTATCCGAGTAACCAACCATCAATGAAGTCCAAGACACCACGTTTCGGTCAGGCATCTCCTCAAAAACCTTCCTTGAACACGAAACCAATCCATAAACCCCATAGAGATGCAAAATAGCAGTACTGACGTAAACATCAGACAGCAAACCAGACTTAGCCACAAAGCCGTGAACTTGAACCCCTTCTCTGAACATAGAACCAGACCGACCACAAGCTGTAACTAAACTAGCAATCACAAAGCTACTTGGCTTGATACCAAGATCACACATCTTCTGGAAAAATTCCATTCCTTCCAGATACAATCCAACACGGACTATCCCAGACATCATGGTATTCCAAGAGACTTCGTTTCTCACAGGCATTTTATCGAACAGGTAGCGTGCAGGTTTGACTCGACCAAACTTGGTGTACATGTTAATCAAAGTGTTAGTGTGCAGCACACTCAGACGAACCAATCCCTTGACACAAAGCGCGTGCAGAGCTCTTCCCGTAGTTTCTCTAGTGATTTGAGAGAAACCAGTTTGATCGAAACAAGATAATTCCGGGTTCCAATGGTCTGAGAGCGAGAAACATCCACTCCATCTGATAACTTTTTTTCCTTCTTCTTCTTCCACTCTTTCCAGACATTGCAATGTCGAGAAACGTCGCGTGTTGGAATGGCGGGAGACAAACCTACTGAGCAAACGAGAATCGCCGCCCTGAAAAGACAGGACTTTGCGTCGCCAGCTGGCCAGCTCTAATTCGTCGGCGTTTCAACGGTGGTTCCCGGAAAGATCAAACGACTTGAAGGCAACCTAGAAAGAACAAAAAAAAAAGACTGCTCTTTTAAACAAAAACCGAAATAACCGGAGAACGTACTGGACCATATAAAACCGATTTTACCGGACCGGTTTAGGATTGAAAACAATAATTTCAATGTAAACCCTGTACTATTCTTATGTTGCTTATTTTACCCTAATTATTTTCTCCTACACCGTTTGAACCCTCTGCAAGTCTCACTGTGTTTCTAGGACTCGCATGAACGAAGAAAGATTGGGAATTTCTCGCCTTTTTCGGGTAAGTTCTCTGAATCGTGAATCGTTTGTATTCTACTTCACCTTCCACATAGCGTAAGCGAATCTAATTTCTACAGAAACAGACAAAAAAAGATTCCTTTGAAATTCAGCATTTGCAATTGTAACTGTGTGAATGATTCAATCGATGTATTCACCAGAATCTGTGAAAGCTAAAACATTTTCATCAAGATCAAGAAAACCCACAAAATCATTTTTTTCTTCTTCAAGTTTTACTCTGTTTTGGAAAAGGATTCTGAGAGAATGCTATGTTTGTTCGTTTATAGAAAATGTTAGCTGCTGAATCAATATTGAAGATAGCAACAACTAGTCTTTCTTATAACTGTCAGCTTTCCATTTCTAGATGGTTGTTTGCTTGCGATAACTTGGTTTCACTACAAAGCAATCATTTGCAAATACAATCTTTCAACTCTGTAATATCTACATTTTGACGTTTCTTCGATTGCTATTATATGCGCCTATCTACTAAAGATGCCAAGAATTTAGCTCTATTGTAGATTTTCATGAGGATAATAATTTCGTTTTTAAGGTGAAAATGTCTTTTGCTTTATGGCTTCATTAATGTATCAGGAGCTCGTAACTCTCCAAGAGTGATGATGAATTTTCATCTTCTGTTCCCTGTTTATGCTGTTGTTGTTGTTGTTGGTTATCGTTTTCTTCTAACCCGAGTTCGCATTCCAGGTGCTTGAACCATTTATCAACTTCATCTTCTTCAGACTCTTGAAGAGCTCTGTTCTCAGGTTGTTGGAATGATGAGTCTGAACCATCTATGAAACTCCAGATGTCTGGATCTATATCAAAAGTCATCTCCAGGAGCTCTGGTTTGTCTACCTCTTGTAGCATCTCCGTAAAGTCGCTAAAAGTTAGAATATGCTCAAACGTTTTTTGACTTATCTGTGCATCATCGTCTTTGCTTGAAATGTTGGAACCAGCAAAAGACATTGAAGCATTTGGAGATGACTCTTGAGAGTTCTCTTCTTCATTCAAAGAACCTTTTGAAGCCGCTTCATCGACATTAAGGTTAGTTTTTGAGCTCAATCTTTTCTTGAGATGTGTATGCCACACATTCTTGATCTCATTGTCTGTTCTTCCCGGAAGTTTAGAAGCAATCTTCGACCACCTGAATCCAAAATGCGGAAAAGCTATTGTCAAAATCAGAACTTTGAGCCACACAAGAAGACAGTAACAAGATAACACATACTTGTTACCAAAGCTCTGGTGAAGTTTAATGATGGTTTCTTCTTCCTCTGCGGTGAAATTGCCACGTTTCACATCAGGTCTGAGGTAATTAATCCATCGTAGACGACAACTCTTGCCACACCTCAACAATCCTTCATTGCATGCATAGATAGAATCAGAACCAGAAGATTAGAAAAGCTAAAGAAAAGAGGCTTTTTAAAGATGAGAAACATACCAGCTTGCTTTGGGAGAGATCTCCAGTTCTCATGACCATACTTGTGAATGAAAGAGATGAGTTTGAAGTCTTCATCTTGGCTCCATGGTCCTCTCTTTACTTTGCTTTTGTCACAACATGGTGCTCTTCCTTTGCCCATTCTCTCTCTCTCTCTCTCTCTCACACACACTTTTGAGATTCCGTTTTACCAAATCCAATTGGTGTTGTGTGTATTTATACATGAGAAGTGGTGTCTGATCCTGACTTTGAGAAACATGTTATAAACAACAGAGATTGACAATTGTCACATCAGATTCGTTGAAGTTTAAAACTTGTCTATATTGTGGATCAGTATCTGGCAATATTCCCATCTTTTTTTTTTAATTTCCCATTTATATATGTCAAAAAAAATTATTTTTATTATTTGGGAAATGTAATCAACTATATATACATACATGAAACATGTTTGAAACTTAGATACTGAGTCTCATATTTTTTATTCAATCTGAAACCTATAAAGATTGCCTCTGACAAATCTATAAGTTGAATCCATCTTTATAATGTAAAACCAAATTAGATTTGTTCTTTTGATTAGTATTATTATTCTAACTTATTTTGACTAAGTTTCTTGTACTGCGCAACTCGTTAGTTAATATTAGCTAACTGTAAAATTTGTGATCTGACTAATTAATATGTATTTGTGTCTCTGTGAGTCATATCAGGTAGGGTTGTAATAATTTTTTCTATCTATAGCTATACCAACTTTTGAAAAACGGTTTTAAAATTTAACAAAACGAGAAAGTTTGATAAGTGGAAATTTCATGAAATAAAACTTGACTTATTATCGTTTTTTCTTTATACTTTAAGTTGTAATCTACCAAACAAGACGTAAGGATGCTATCATCTTAGACCATCCTTATTGGGAGGTTCTTAACTTGGTTCTTAGCTCAAAAGAGATTAAAAATAAAGGTGTAATTGATGATTTTGCTAAAGAATGACTCATAGCTAAGAGTCAAAAATTGGGCTAAAAACCAAAAAATTTACTAAGAACCAAAACTAAGCACCTCCCAATAATGTTGCTCTATACAAGGAAATGTAAAAAAAAATTAGTTTGACTGGTTAGGGTTTTAGAATCGTGGAAGGCTAAAAATAAAATCTACAACCACAACATACACATATAAAATCATGTTTAATAACAGTAACAAAAATTATGTACATAGAGGATTTATTGTAGAGAAAATGGGTCCTATAACCCTGTAACATATTACATGTGTGTACTTTTTTGTTTTCTTCGAACACAATGATCAAATTAGCTTTCCTTTACTTTATACACACATAATATTTCTCCAAGTTTTTTCTTTTTCTCCACTTTTTCTTTCTTTTTCTTTAATCTCCATCCCTCTCATCAATACTCTTTTAAATAAATTTTAATCATGTCTTCTATGTATTTTTCACATTTACGATTTGGATTTTAAGTAACATACACAAATTATTCAGTCAAATCATAAATTACTATAAGTTTTTAACATAAAGTGGTTAGAAATTTGCATACAATATTTATTTTGAAGCAAATCAAGCTTCCGTACATCCATCGTATCTTCTATCTTTTTGTTCACGTATTGAAGAGATTCGGTTCCAGACTTGTTTGTCGAGGTTTTGAAGCAACTGCTTCATCAATCTAAAGAAACATATCAGCATCAATTGCTTACTTAACTTCAGTTTGTTTTCATCTCCCATTAATAGGGAGTTAAGTTTAAGATTCCTATTCAAAAGTACGATTTATATTCCATATACCAAACAAGATATGACGAAACTCATGCTTCCACTAAATTATATGACGAAAAGTTGGCATCGTGTATGTTATATTGGCAACATATATATATATATATATATATATATATATATATATATATATATATATATATATATATATATATATATCTCAACTAGCAGCAACAACAACAACAGTCTTTGTTCTCACATGCATGTCCTGTATAGTTTTGTTTCGAAATCAAAATATTTAACCAAAAAATCAGTTAGGTAGTAAGAATGGATCTTGTAACCTAATAATAAACAAACTTTTTTGACGAAGATATAAGTATTTATTCGACAATAGTATTAGAGTGCATGCATCTTTAGTAGAGTTAAAATCATATGTTTCCTTTGTTTGGTGAACAACTTACGAAAATGTTATTTTAACATGAACCAATTAGGTTCCACTGAAAAAAGAAAAAGTTTAGTAAACTAGGTTGAAAAGAATGGAAAAAGTTGAAATATCCCAATCGATGACGAATTGAAAAAGATTGGAATTTGCATGACGAAAGCACACGTGTTGCTATTGGCACACTCTGTTTTTAGTCTTTGATTGGTTCGGCCGCCCGTTTTCTTAAATAAAATACCATAATTAAGTGCAATGAAATGAATCCGTAGTACATTTGTTGTTTATTAAGGTGACAATAATAGTTGGATTCGCCGTTTAATATTGTATCGCTAACTAGGGACGAGGTGAAAAGGCTCCCTAATTTAGACTATTCGGTCTAAAACTCCACGATTTAATCAACTATAAAATTGAAATTAGCTCAATGTTTAACAAACTTCATTTTCTCTATTCGATAGTAGTTCTTTGATCACACGTTCCTTTGGGCTTGATCGCAAAGTTTGTTTGTTTTTCTACGTACCACAAAAAATTAATACTAGAGTTGGCCAAAAAAAAAACTACATATATAGAGGATGTATATGTTTGGTGACAAAATATATGTATTTGTTTGGTGAGACACTAATGTTTTTTTTAACTACTAGAAAGTGGTTTTCAATTTATAGTATTAGATTGAGTTAGTGTGTATTTGTTTGTTGAGACACTAATGTTCATAATTCGGTAACAGTTTAACAATATCTTGTTTGCCACTTGAGAATGGACCATATAAAATATTTTGGTCTCTGGTTTGAGAAGATCTACAAACCTAGGTCCAAAACCTCTTAATAATTCAACAAAAAAAAGGTTTCTATTTTCTTTCATTATATGCAATAAATTTCAGAAATGCATCACTATACTACAATTCCAATTGGTCAAAATCATTCAATCGGTCAAAATCATATATATTCACTGACTTCTGTTTTTAACAATGGTTTACTAGAACAAGTTATGTGTAAGTGTGTTCACATCATAAACCAACTATAAACTATAATATATGTCTATTTATTGATGTAGTTGAAATAATAATCAAAGAATGCATTGCATGCACGCATTGTTGGATATATTTTGGCATGTCGCGTTCAATCTTATAATTTAAAAGTAATTTAAGAGATATATATAAGTTACACACAAAAATATAGTTGATTACTTGATTGTAATCAGAGCCGTCCTGGAGATTTTTGGGGCTGCAAGCAAGAATTTTTTTTGGCTTGTAAGAGTCGAACCATCGACCTTTTATTAGTACCCAACACATTTTTACCCGCAGAATCAATGATTTTTTGCAAAAAATATCAAAAAATATTGGCCAAATTAATATATAAACAATTATTGGTCGCAAACTGTAGCTTGTCCTGCTTGTAGTCAAGGCCGGCAGTGATTATAATGGATGAACACTTTCATGTTTTGGAGTTTCTGAGTTTATAAATAAAGTTACATCTCAACAATTAATATGTAATGATAATATACATATGGCAAGTGATTTATTCAGAATAATAAAAGTTTAGATCATTGTATATTCATATGCTGCGTCATGTCTTCCTTAGTTAACGATCATCACATGACGATGTGTTTTATAACAATTATGAAATAATTATAAAGTAACCCCAATATGGGCACCTACTCTTGGAAAATATATAAATTAAGATTTTAAAATTTTAGGAGTTGGTTGGTAGAAGATTTGCTTAATAGTGATGACTTTTTCATGAGTCATGATGACTACCAAACTAATCACTCATGGTACAAGCACAGGACTCGTAAATTTATACTATTTAATTTAAAAACAAATGCATAAATTAAGAAACAAAATTTTAGTACGTGATGGCTTGAGAAAAAGCGAGACGATCACATTACATATGCATGACGAAACGTTAATTTACGAAATATTATTTGCTGTTACTTTTATTATAATCTTGTTGTCAAATTTTTGAAAAACTCATACGTGTGTATATAATATATCCAGCTAAAAATTAAAATCAATTAACTACATAATGCTACGGGACAAATATTTATTTAGGTAAATTACAAATGTAAAGTTGCTACTGATAATAGCAAAGAGTATTGGTAATAAACTAAAATATTATGTAAAAATTTAATTTGCTTCTTTTACGTTTAAATATATATATATATTACATTATTACCTAAACAAAGAAATGAGTTCTCATTGTTATATAATATAACTATGGCGTTTTCTAACATAATAAAATGCAAAATAAAACATTTGCTGATGTTAAAAAAAAAAAGAATTGAAAATTTTGTAGCTTTACATTATATATGGGCTTAAGAAACCCTCGCTATGTGGTCCTTTATGGTTTAAGCCCAATACTTTTTTTTTTAAAGCCCAATACTTTGATTTAGAAAAGTAGCATTCGTGTTTTCATTTTTCAGTCGATGAAAATTTGATAGTGGTAGCGACTAGCGACGGTGAAGGCAAAGTTCATTCATATATCGCATACCTTTTTTTTTAATTAATATGGGGTGTGCTTGCATGTATACTAATGAGCATCATGTTATGTCGTCCGGTAACATTTTTTTTTAATATAATGTCACATTATTCATTTAAATCACACGCAAAAAAAAAAAAAAAAAAAAAAAAAAAAAAAAAATCACACGCAAATAGTATGGTTTTGCGAGCACGATTTTCTTGCTAATTTTACTACAAAATTTGGTTCTCCAACAAATAAGCCCAATTAAAAACAGACTCCGTCCAGAGTCCAAGCACTAAAAGGTCAACAAAATTTTGGTAAAGGAACAATGAACAATCTGTGATTGCAAACAAAAAAAACAATAAGAAATAGTATTGAAAAAGTTGGTAGGTGGTGGAAAATCCGATCTCAGACTGCTGCAACTTCCATATGGCCTCGGAATTTAAGGTTTTCAGATGCATTTTATAAAAATTAAAGTTAACTTTCTTAAATTATTATCATAGCATAAAAGGTGAGTGCCATTTAATTTTTCGTATTAAAAACCCTTACCGATCTCGCATTAAAATGCATTCAAATCCCAAGACCAGTCTCGCTACCATTAATAAATATATGTCCAATTTAATTCATACTATTATTATATGGGTCTCTCGGTATACATTTAGGGCTTAGCCGTCTAGTTAGGAGTAACTCCCATATATTGATTTCTGCTAGGAATAGGGACTAAAATTTAAATTAATTTTTTGTTTGGTAGAATACTTTATTGAAAAATTCTTTGG